GACAAATGTGGTCTAGATAGATCTTCATTCTCTCTTTCTTCCTCTCCTTTCCTCGTATTTCTTACCAAGAAAGAAAAAAGTATGACCAGCCTAGATGGCAAGGAACCTTAGGCCATGTGGCCCAAGTCATTTTTACTATGCAGTGCTTTACTGGGCTAAAATCAGGTACCTGCTCAATTAGTGATAACATAGTACTTAATTTTATCCATCCCATTCGTGTTCCCTGATGTGTGCAGAAACTGTGTTTGGGAACTTAGAAGGAACTGGGGTAGGATTTGAGCTGAAAAACTCTACCCTGAACCCTAAAAAGAACCTCATAGTCATCCCTGACTTGACTCTCACTTGCCTGCAACACTATAACCACCAGTAAATGCTATTGATCCTACTTCCTCAATTTCTTTCCTGCCTTGCTTTACCACTACCTCAAGTTTTTCACCTCTTATCTAGGCTGATGCCATAGCCTCAAAGGTGGTCTTCATCAATCTTTTCCCCTCCTCAGTCATCTTTAACATTGGTTACTATCTTCCTACATCCAGGCACAACACTTATGCTAACAACTTTTCTGTGGCTCATCAGTACCTACCTCAGAGTCCAACCGTGGATAAACATCGGAATTGCAGAGATCATATCACAGTTACAGAGAATCTCAGATGATTCTAATGTACAATTAAACCATTTGTTTGAGACCTTAATTGAAAATAGATCCTTAGAAGTACAAGGCTATGCGGCTATGCCAAGCATGGTAGTGCACGCCTAGCATTTAGGAAGTAGAGGCAGGAGGATCGCAAGTTGAAGGGCAGCCTAGGTTACATGGAGAGATCCTGCCTCAAAATACCAAAAATAAAAGTAAATGAAAAACAAAGCAAAACAAAGAAAAGAAGTGCAAAGAAATACAATTACTACACGTAATTTTTTTTTGGAACAGGGTAAGCATATGCCCAGTAATAGCAAAATATTAATGAAAGTTCTAACATGGGCCAGGCCTCAGCACTCAGGAGGCTAAGAACGAAGGATTGAAATTTTGAGGCAGTCTGGGCTACATGAGAAGACCCTGTCTCAAAAAAAAAAGAAAAAAAAAAAAAGTAAGTTTAAACATGGAAGATGACAGCTCTTGAAGAAGGTCAATACTAGGGGTGAAGTATATTGGCACATACCAGTAATTCCAGCTACTCAGGACACAGAGATTGGAAGGATCAAAGTTAGCCAGTCTGAGCAAAAAGTTAGTGAGAGACCCCCCCCACACACACACTCACATTAACAATGTTAATGGGCCTGGTAGTGCTTATCTATAAATCTCAGCTACAGGAAAACAGCAGGTAGGAGAATCATGGTTTTAGGTCAGCCCCAGGCAAAATGCAGGAGATGCTATCTGAACAACTAAAGTGAAAAAGGGATGGGGGCATGGCTCAAGTAGTAAAGTTTCTGAGTTAACACCCTAAAATTGGAAATTTTAAAAAAATTTTAAAGAAAGCAAAAGAAGAGAATACCAGTTTACCTAGGTTCTACACAATTCTAGCATACAAAATCTTAAAATTAAGGGGAAGAATTTTTTTTTAAAAAAGGTATAAGTAATGATGAAATTAAATATGTATAAATAAAGATTTAATGGAAAAGGTGAGTGGAAGATGGTAAGACTTTAAACATTTAAAAGCTAGAGTCTAGGATAAAGGAGTGAGCAAAGACTTGCATTCTCTATAATTCTCTATAATCCGCCCTCCTTCATGCGGATTATAGACCTAAAACAAATGCAGTAATATTACTGGACATAGGTCACACACTAAGGGGAGAATGAGCATAGGAGGAATAGAGAAAGGGAAGGAAATCTAAAACTTGAATGTGGTTGATATGCTCAGTGTAGAGGAGTGAATATAGTAATCTTAAAGTGGCAGAGGCCACTATGGGAAAGGGACCAGGAAGTAGTGAAGAAGACTGATAGAGATGAACCAATGTGGGTTGTAATAATACACATGTGCGTGGAATCAATGCTAGGAATCTCTCTACATAGCTATCTTTATCTCAAACTAGCAAAACTCTATGTCTTTCTTATTATCTCTTACATTTTCTCTTCAACAAAATTGGAGAACAAGAGGGCACAACAGGTTCTGCCTGGAAAGGAGGAAAGGGAGTGGTCCCAAACAATGTATACACGTGTAAGTAAATGTAAAAATGACAAAATAAAAGAAAGGGAAAAAATTTTAAAAAAGAAGATATGGCTTGAAATCAGACTACCAGCTAACTGAGAAACAGTGTGCCAAGTGAGCAGGCAGCTGGCCCAGGAGGTGAGAAGAATAGTCGGGAAGTTCCCATCCTATTCTCTTTGCCATGTAGGAGCCAAGCTAATATTTAACGTCCCCACACCCTGCCTAGATGCTGGAGACAAGCCTCACCAACGTGGGTAATGGGGAGAATTGAATGATACAAAAGCACACATATGAAAGTGCTGAACATAGAGTTTATGTTCAACAAATAATGTTGATTGTTTTTTTTTTTAAAGTATGGATTGAGGCTGGGTGCCAGTGGCTCACTCCTATAATCCTAGCTACTCAGGAGGCAGATATCGGGAGGACCATGGTTCGACACTAGCCTGAGCAAGTAGTTCTGTAAGACCTAGCTTGAAAAAACCCTTCACAAAAAAGGGCTGATGGAGTGGCTCAAGGTGAAGGCTCTGAGTTCAAGCCCCTGTATCGCAAAAAAAAAAAAAAAAAAAAAAAAAAGATTAAAGTGTAGATTGAGCACCCCTAGTCTGAAAATCAGCAATCTGAAATGTTCCAATATCTGAAACTTTTTGAGGGCCAGAATGAGCCACAAGTAGAAAATTCTACATATGATGAGTTGCAGCAAAATGTAGGTACATAAAAAGAGCATGCAAACTTACTTTCAGGCTATATACCTAAGGTAGATAGGAAACATGAATTAATTAGGTCCCACCCCAAAATACCTCTTCATGTATATGCAAATATTCCAAAATTGTAAAAAAAAAAAAAAAAATCAGAAACACTTCTTGTCCCAAGCATTTGGAATTTGAGATAGCCTACAAAATGAAATCCAAAAAGAAAAGACTTTTTAAAAAAAAACTATTTAAAATAAATACTTAGAAGCCAAAAAACTTTGAACCTCTGCTGTGCAGTGTGATGGGCAAGACAACTTTTAGATTCCTTCACTTCTTGCATGGCAAAATTTGATATCAAGTTCAAGTCCATGAAAGTAATCTATTAAAAGAATCATTCCAAAACAACACTATGCCTCCATTTTTAAAAGTACACACAGTGTGTCTTAATTGCCATCACAATGAAATCAACATATTAATTACCATTGCATTAAAACGTTTCAGTAAACAAATAACTTCTTACTCTCATATCAGTCTATTAACACTAATGACTGCACTTTCCTAAGCTATTTTAGTACAGAAAATCAAAAGCACCTTGGGTGGCATGGTACATGTTTTTATAAACATAATTTTGGAAGGTCAGCTACTATTTGCCCCAGGGTTACATTCAAAGGTGGGGAAAGACTGTTGACTAATTCTGTTACCAAATAGTCTTTTCTACACTCTATGTGAATATTCATGAATGCTGCATTTCAGCTGCCATTCCATTAAATTAAGTAAACTCTCAATATCTTATAAGGCCTATGTAGGAAATGGTATTTTGACCTTTTCTAAATACCCAAAATGTGTTGAAACTGCACTTTAATCTTTAAAACAAACATTCCTTATTTTGCTGGATTTATTATTATCTCATTGAAATATATTGCTTTCTTTTTCTTGGTTCAGGGCCAGAACTGGTACCTATAATTGTGCATATTGGTCAGGACTCTGATCTTGGTTCACAAGATCTTCACAAGATGGCACTTGTGAAGCAGACAGACATTCAATGATATTGTCCTAAAGAATTTTCTTATAGAGAGACATAGAATATTTTCCTAAAGAACCTCTATAAAAAGTATGGGAAGGTGGGGTTATATAGTCACATCTGAGTAGGACAAAGGTTGTCTAAGGTAGCATAATTGCATTTGGAGTTGCAGAAGACTTAAAGAAAGATAAACCAGTATTGCATTCACACAGGTCCCTTGATGAAGAGGGAAAGGGTGGCAGAAACAGCATTGGTCTAAACAAAGAGACTGGGCTGTGTTAGCAGTTCTGCCATTAACTAGCAGTGGGGCCTGGAGGTGGTTGTTTATATCTCTGGGTTTGAGTTTTAATCTATAAAATGAGGGTGATGGACCACATAAGGATTTTCGAGTCCTTTGTAGCTCTAAACACTGGCCAGCTCTAAAACAGCTGTTTGTGTATCTTTTTGCCAGCCCAACACATAAGCAGTGACTGCAAAGCCCCGGAAGTCTGTCATGAACTCAGCAAAGTAGAGTGAGTATGTTACTGCATACGTACATGCCCAGCACCTTGCGCCAGGACTCTGCTACTCATCCTCTACACCAAGTAGTGTACACCACGTCTCCTGATCTCTGGCCTGCAGATGCCACTCATTACAATGGACAAAGCAGACTGCAGGACTTAGTAGAGCAGAGGAGGAAGAAGCAGCAAGCAACCACCTCCCATGTAGGAGAACTAAAAGATGATAAATGGAAGTACTGTAGATTATCACCTAGCAAAATACCTACTTTTATACAAAGGAACACTAAGTCTCTGAGAGAACTGACTGACCCCAAAATAACCATCAGGCTTGTAGGAGTGGGTGTATAAAATATTCAGGATTCTCCACTCCATGGCACACCATCTTGAAACTTGTGTCAAATGACTACCTTTCTGAAATGATCTATGAATCAGATGAATTGCTTAATTCTGACTTCAGTTTTTATGACAAAAAAAAAGGAAAAAAGACAAAACAAAAACAGGGGTACCAAATATCACTGAATTGTACTGAAGGGAAAATAACTTGCCCCAATGATATCTTAGGCCTACCAATTATAAGCAATAAAGAAGAGATTAAATATAGACACATGAATATGTTCCTTTGGACCAGAAGTTCAGGTTCTTTCCTTACCATCCCAATGCAGAAGAGGATAAATAGCAGCAGCCATGGTATGTCTGTGCAGCTACGGTCCTCCAGTGGCTTCCATTCTCGTTTGGAGCTCTAATTGAAAATACAAAATAAGAGAGCATGGTAAATGTTAAGTTTAGTTAAAATTGGAAAGGCACCCTTTTATTTGCACCTAGATCCTTTTTTTCCTGGATAAAACTTTAAGACATAACTTAAATATGTGTCATCTCTTGAGTAAAACCTACCCTGACTTCCTTGGTGAATACTCATTGGCTATATTCCCACCCCTCTCTCTGGCCAGGCATAGAACTGAGATCAATGCCTTTTTGATACCTCTGTTGGAGTATTTAGCACTCCGAATTGTTATTTTTAGTTGTTAGGCTGTGTCCCCATCAGATTGTGAGCCTTGTAGTTTCATTTCCCAAGATCTGAGGTGATGCCTAGGCATTTAGGAGATGTTCTCATTAAGGGCTTTTTAGAATGAATAAGCCAATGAACAAGATTTTCCAACCTCAATCTTAGTGTAAGGCTTTCCTTTGTGTGTCCAGATGCTAATTTAGAACATGCTTTCTACATGTTCTCTTCTGAGAAGGAAGCCCATTAAAATGAATTCCTATGCAGGGTTAGCCTTTTAAGCCAAATAAAATTCAAGAAGGAAAAAACTGAATTTCTCTAGACAAATTTGAACAACTCCTAAAACCACCATTTATGTATTTTCATTTTTTTTCCTAGAAGATGTGAAACACAGAGATTCCCTAACTAAAGAATGGTAAGAGTACAAAAATAATGTGATAATAAGAATAAATAAATAAATAAAATGATACTGGAAAAAAGAACCACAGGCATTCTAAAAGCTCATTTGCAAAGTATTGATTGGAATTCAATTGCATTTTTTTTTCTTATTGTGATTGTCTTAGATTCTCAGGTCAGCTTACACATCCTTTTCCATCAAAATGTAACTGAAGTAACACCCTACAGCTTTCTAATGAGCAAACATCCCTGAGTCTCACACCCTCTTCTAGAAACAGCACAGAAGGGGAGGAGAAGGCAGCCCCAGGAAAGCTACAAAAAGCTGAGGCCAGCAGTGGTTCACAGGACAAGCTCCAGGAAGCCTTCTGGGAGACTGTTCAGCAGGAAAAGGCACCAGTAGAAGGAAGCGCAGATAAGGCAGCCCTCTATTATAATTAGTACTTAGAGTGCGATTAGGCTTAGTTTTCCCTTCTAAAACAACAGGTTTAAACTCTGTCTTTTGATAATTCACATAATTTTCATAAAAATTTAGGGAATTCAGCTTGAAAATAGCTGCCTATCAACAATGAGAGCAGAAAATTTGAGCTACTTTCTGACCATTTCTTCCTGACACTAAAGTGTTACTGCCTTACACTGTTTCAATTGCAGCAACAAAAATACTCAGCTTGTTCCCAGACACCCACACAAGAAAACAAAAGGGCACTAGTTAGTCATGGAAAAACCCTTATCCTGAGACCCAAACTAGCATTAAGAACCAAGAATGAGTAGGCAGTTTCTTCCAGAAGAATGCAGCACTGTGTAATGGATGAGGGATGTCTCTCTGTCCCTGGCTCCGTCATTAGTTAGCTACATGACTTTAGATAAATTGTCTCTCTGGGTGGCAGGAAGGCGTTAGATTAGATCGCCTAGGTTCCTTCCAACTGAAAATCTGTGATCAGGAATGTACTTTTGTGAAAACTTTCGTGATGACAAGAAAAACAACTGCAAAATATCTTGACATTGTTCCCTGTGTTATTCAAATCAGAATGCCTGTATTGTGGTCTGTATTTTGGAAAACAGTTGTTCACAATGAGAATAAAGAATGTTTCTTTGTATTAAATAATTTCAGTCTTGAATAACGCCCATTACAGTAAAATTACTCACAAACACAGAATTTGGACACCTCTTTGAAATTCATTTTATTTACTTTGTGGTAATTTATAAAGCAATAGCTACTTTAAAATTGTTTGCGTGCTTTAACAAACAGTATTATAGGATGGGGCCTTGCGTTGATCGGGTAGTTTATCAACAAGCATTTTCTTAGTATTTTTACCTCAAACCTACATTGAGTTTGTTAACGCTTAAATTTTCATCTACAATATAAACGAAGGGGGATTTCATCTCAACTAGAAAAGTACAAAGACTCAACATCTTGACAATTCAGTTCAACTTGATGTGGGCCACTGCTGTGCCAAATACAAAGAAAATCTCTACTAGGATGAGAGGTGGGAAGGGTTCAGAGTTATATATAAAATACAGTGATTGAATGCAAGCAGAGTAGAAAAGCAAAAGGACAGTGTGGTCACCCTCACTGTAACAAGGGAGGGCTTCTCAGAAAGGGATGGCTTACTTCAAAGAGTAGTTCTGAGGGTAAAATCTGAGCATCCATCATCTAGTACACACACAATTCTTGGTTGTTATTATTACTCATCAATGTTTACTTTTCAGTTAGCCCTCTCCTTATTGTTAAAATATCCTTTTACCAGGTGACCCTTTTCACCAAAACAGATAAAAAGAATAAACTCTTCTTTCCCTTTACTACTAAAATTTTTACTTAAAGGTGGCATATTTCATTTTAGCTATCATTTTAATGCTACCAGTGATTGATATTACTATTAGCCAGACACTACACTACAAAATAGCTCTCTGATGTAGGTACTATCCCTATTTCACAGATAAGGAAACTCAAGCTCAGAAATTAAATAATCAGCCCAAGGATTAACACTTGTGCAACCAGGATTTAAACCCAAGTCTGTGACTCCAAAGCCAACCCCAATGAGACTATTACTCCTTTACACTAGTCAATGAAGAACAGCCTCACTATTAGTGTTTCTTCATATTGCAATCTTGGAAGTCAGGCTGGTAACTTCAAACCCTATAAATGAATAGAAAGATATGTTGTGAGCCATGAAATTTCTCAAGTGAGTCAGGAAACTCAACAGTTGAAAAATTTTAGTGATTAACAGATTTAACCAAGTGGCAATTAGATTTAAAGCTCTCTCTTTCTTTTGATTAAAATTCCACACAGACCTTTTCTACCAAAAGTAAAACATGTTGCAAAAGCATATTTAAAATGTGATTTTATCCCTTTCTCAGATTCTACATGAGATTAATACAGACTGTCAGTAAATATTAGGATTCTTTCCCTTCACAAAATCTTACAATTTAGGTACTAAATAGAACCAAAGTAATCATGCAGTCCAAAGTTTTAATGAGATCCAAAGAGAGAAGGGACTTGTGCAAGGTAACACATTTGTTTTAACCATGACCTTATTTGATTATCAAAACAATTCTGTCATTTTTATACATTCCCAACTTTTCTATTTTGTAGAAGAAGAAACCAAGGCTCAGAGAAAATAAATGGAAAATCTATGTTTGACACGTGAATTCTCAAACTGTAGCAAAGAGGTAGAAGCTATAAGAAAGGAAATGCTAAAAATAAAACAAACCCAGTAAGAGATGAAAAATGCCTTTGTTAGGCTCCTCAGTAAACTAAACACAACTCTAACTGAACCACAAATCAAAAGGTGAGTGAAAATTTAAAGCAGAGCTCCCAAGAACTGTAGGGCAATACAGGCATAAGTGGAATCAAAGAATATAGAATGGGGCAGAGGAAATATTTGAACAAATAATAACTGAAAAATTTCCCAAAATAATTAGAAACATAAAAGCACAGATCTGGGGAGTCAGAGATTTATCCCAAGCAGGGTAAGTACAGTAACACACACACACCCCCTACAAATACATTCAAACTTGAAAATCAAAGATACAAAGATAATCTTGAAGGACAGGTGAGACAGACACTGTCCCCCCTGAGCTCTAATTTAGTGAGAAAGACACAAAACAAGAACTATGATATCTCAAACAATACCAAAATGGAGACATGTTAAAGGTACAGTAGAAATAGAGATGGAAAACATTAAGTAAACATTTAAGAGATGTGTTGAAATTACCTCATAAACTTCTACAGTTTACATTCTGAAGCAAATACTGCAATGGTCATTTAGTGTCTAAAACAGAATGTGTGGCATGCCCCAAAACAAATTCTTGCTAGCTATGATAGGGAAATATGAACTGCCAAATAAGAATTTTTCCATTAAGAAAAATGCTGAAAAAAGAATGTATGAAAACAATTCCATTTACAATAGCCTCAAAAAAAAATCAAATACCTAGGTGTAAACCTAACAAAAGATGTGAAAGACCTCTACAAGGAAAACTATACACTTCTGAAGAAAGAGATTGAGGAAGACTATAGAAAGTGGAGAGACCTCCCATGCTCATGGATTAGTAGAATCAACGTAGTAAAAATGTCGATACTCCCAAAAGTAATCTACATGTTTAATGCAATTCCCATCAAACTTCCAATGACATTCATTAAAGAGATCGAAAAATCTACCGTGAAATTTATATGGAAACACAACAGGCCACGAATAGCCAAGGCAATACTCAGTCAAAAGAACAATGCAGGAGGTATCACAATACCTGACTTCAAACTATATTACAAAGCAATAACAATAAAAACAGCATGGTACTGGCACAAAAACAGACATGAAGACCAGTGGAACAGAATAGAGGACCCAGATATGAAGCCACACAACTATAACCAACTTGTCTTTGACAAAGGAGCTAAAAATATACGATGGAGAAATAGCAGCCCCTTCAACAAAAACTTCTGGGAAAACTGGTTAGCAGTCTGCAAAAAACTGAAACTAGATCCATGTCTATCACCCTATACCAAGATTAACTCAAAATGGATCAAGGATCTTAATATCAGACCACAAACTCTAAAGTTGATACAGGAAAGAGTAGGAAATACTCCGGAGTTAGTAGGTATAGGTAAGAACTTTCTCAACGAAACCCCAGCAGCACAGCATCTAAGAGATAGCATAGATAAATGGGACTTCATAAAGCTAAAAAGCTTCTGTTCATCAAAAGAAATGGTCTCTAAACTGAAGAGAACACCCACAGAGTGGGAGAAAATATTTGCCAGCTATACATCAGACAAAGGACTGATAACCAGAATATATAGGGAACTTAAAAAACTAAATTCTCCCAAAACTAATGAACCAATAAAGAAATGGGCA